TGCATTTGGGGGGAACATTATTCGACCCAGTGTCCCTCCTGGGAGCCTCGGGAGGTGCTGTGTGCTGGGCGGGAACCAACAGTCAGTCGCCAGGGAGATGGGACAATCCAGGCCGAGCCCGTGCCAGGAAGCAGATACAGAGCGATGAGACGGGAGCAGTGGGCGGGCCACGTGAGGGAGTGGCTTTTGAGCTGGGCCTGAAAGCACGTGGGAAAAGGGTGAGGAAAAGGCAGAGAGGTCCCAGTGAGCCGGAGACAGGGAGGGCACTGGGCAGGCAGGCCGGGGGCTGTCACGTGGGCTGGAGCGGGTGGGACATGGCCGGGAGGTCAGTCAGAGCAGCAGTCCTGGTTGAGACCTAGTGTCCCGTGAGCACCCGCATTCTAGTGGGACTCCCGAGGCCACCGTATTGGCCAACGCGCATCACCTCCCCCTGTGGCCCAGCCACGACCCTGAAGGGCTGCCCCTGCTTTGGCTCGGTAGCAGTGGTCCGTCCCCCACACCCAGTGGCCTCTCTAACCCCCGCCCCCAGCGGAGGAAAAGAAGAAGCTGGCGGAAGAGAAGGCCATGGACATCGAGGAGCAGAACAAGATCATCGCGGTGGAGAAGGCTGAGGCCGAGACGGCCCTCGCCGAGGTCATGCCCATCCTGGAGGCCGCCAAGCTGGAGCTGCAGAAGCTGGACAAGTCGGACGTGACCGAGATCAGGTACCGGGCAGGGCCACCTCCCGCTGGGCTCGTCCCCAGCGTCATTCCTGAAAGCAGCGCGGTTGTCGTGGCAGAGCGAGCGCGGCCCACGGAGCGGATGGTCTTCGTTTGCAGAGGAGGGAAGGGATGGTCTTCTTGCAGAGGAGGGAAGGGGGCCCCGGGAGGCGCGGTGGCTGGCCCTAGGCCCCCAGCTGGTGGGGAGCAGCGCCGCTGGCCTTGAACCCAGGCTGACTCCCACGGGGAGACTGGGCTCCAGAGCGGGCTGTGGGGGGGGGGGGTGCTCTGTGAGTCAGTCCTCTCGATGGGAATGCACTCAGGGCCGGGCAGCACCCGCTGGAACGACAGCAAAGGGCCCCCAGGGGGCGATGTGGGGGGGGCGGGGGGACGCAGTCAAAGGGTGAGGCCCCAGACCTGCCCTCGGAGCAGCTCGTCCCCGGAGCCCAGGTACCGCTGGGACGTGGCTTCCTGCCCCCACGCATGGCTGCTCCGAGGCCCAGCTCCAGGTGCGCCTGTGCCAGGACCCTCGTTGAGGCTGCGCTCACCGCCTCCCGTGCCGCCAGGTCCTTCGCGAAGCCGCCAAAGCAGGTGCAGACGGTGTGCGAGTGCATCCTCATCATGAAGGGCTACAAGGAGCTCAACTGGAAGACGGCCAAGGGCATGATGTCCGACCCCAACTTCCTGCGCTCGCTCATGGAGATTGACTTCGACTCCATCACCCAGGGCCAAGTGAAGAACATCCGAAGTGCGTGTGGGCGGCGGGAAGGCAGGCTCGCTCTCTGCGGGCACCTCAGTCCCGGGGCCCAGATGGAGAGCCAGGAGGGGCTTGTCGCAGGCAGGGGGGCCGTGGCCCTGCGGATGGAGGGGGTTCTGGAGGCAGATGGTGGCGCTGTCCCGGGAAGCAGGACAGGCCCGTCTCCTGGCACTCAGGCCAGCGCCACCTTCTGCGCCTCCCGACAGGCCTGGTGGTGCCTGGAGTCGGCCTAACCCCTGAGCTCTCCTCTTGTGCCTCTTGCCGCATAAGCTCTCCTGCGGGTCCCTGGCGGGGAGGGTGTGGAGGCGGGCGGCACCACCGTGGCCAGCCCCTGACTTCACACAGAGTGCCCACCCCGCCTGCCCCGCAGGCCTGAGCCCCAGGGGGGGGGCGGGGGGAGGGGAACAGTCTTTGCTAAGATGGCACTAGTGCCTCGCACCACTGTTCTCCCCAGTGCTGCTCAGCACTGTCACCCAGCGCACTTCTGCCACCGCTTAGACACAAACAAAGGCAGCACAAAGGCTGCCAACCCCAGAAACCCCAGGCGCCGTGGGGTGGGGGGAGCAGGAGAGGCCACCATGACCCCTAATGGCCTGCGAACCGTTAGCCCCCTGCTCTGGGCCTTGGCGCCCAGCTGGGAGTCCCCTGGGGCTGCCGCGGCCATAGGGAAGCGCCCGGGTGACGGGACATTCGGTGCCGTCACATCTGAAACATCCTCTGACAAAACATGTTCAGGGTTGGACCCACCCTGCTGTCCGTGGGACCCTGGGTCCCGGTCACGTGCCTTGTCCACGGGCAAGTCTCCCCGTCACTGAGCCGTGGCGCCTTTGACCGTCAGGTCTCTTGAAGACTCTCAACACCACCATCGAAGAAATGGAGGCTGTGAGCAAAGCCGGCCTGGGGATGCTCAAGTTCGTCGAAGCCGTCATGGGCTACTGCGACGTCTTTAGAGAGATCAAGCCCAAGAGAGAAAAGGTATCGCCCGTCCGTCAGGCACAAGCACTGCCGCCGGGGGACCCACTTGGAGTCAGAGTTAACGTGCCCACTGCTTTGCTGGGAGAATTCCGGCAAGGTTCTGATTTTTAAGCCCCATAGACATTTCTCCCCAATAAACAAACGACAGCTCTCACCTGGGCCCAATGGGCACTGGCAGGAACTGTGTCCTAAAGATTTACCAATTTTGTGTGAAGAGAGCAGGATGAAAGAGATTCAAGGTTGTTGTCGAGGACTGCGGTCGCCGACCAGTGGTCCGCTCCAGCCTGGCCACCTACGGAAGACAGTCACAGGACGGTCTCGCCCTGGCAGGGGTGACCCCAAAGGGCATGAACCTCGTTAGGAAGCAGGCGGAGCCAGCCGGGGTGCGGCTGCGTGGCCCTGGCCGCCATGGACCGCTTCCCCACCATCCTGCGACTGTCTCCGTAGGTGGCCAGGCTGGAGCGGAACTACTTCCTCACGAAGCGGGAGCTGGAGAAGATCCAGAACGAGCTGGCAGCGATCCAGAGGGAGCTGGAAGCCCTGGGGGCCAAGTACGAGGCGGCCATTCTGGAGAAGCAGAAGCTGCAGGAGGAGGCGGAGATCATGGAGCGCCGGCTCATCGCCGCCGACAAGCTCATCTCGGGGCTGGGGTCGGAGAACATCAGGTGGGCGGGCATCTGCGTTCTCCTCTGGAAACGGGGGTAGAGTCTGATTTAGCCCTCGCTGGTTTGGCTCAGTGGATAGATAGGGCGTCGGGAATGAAGGGTCCCGGTTCGAGTCTGGTTGAGGGCACATACCTGGGTTTGCAGACTCGATCCCCTGGCCCTGGTCTGGGCATGTGTGGGAGGCCACCCATCGATGTGTCTCTTTCACATCGATGTTTTCCTCTGTGTCCCCATTAGCAGTGGGGCCAGTTGGTTCTAGAATGTTCTTTAGAGGGTGCAGGAAGGTGCCCACTCACCACAGCGCCCTCCTGCGCCAGGTGGCTGAGGGACCTGGACGAGCTGATGCACCGGCGTGTCCGGCTGCTGGGTGATTGCCTGCTGTGCGCGGCCTTCCTGAGCTACGAGGGCGCCTTCACTTGGGAGTTCCGCAACGAGATGGTGAACCAGGTCTGGCAGCAGGACATCATGGCGCGGGAGATCCCCCTGAGCGTGCCTTTCCGCCTAGAGAGCCTGCTCACGGACGACGTGGAGATCAGCAGGTGTGTGTCCGCGCCCGCAGGCCAGGGGCGCCTCCAGCTGGGCCCCACGGGCAGCCCCTGTGGGGCGGGGGGGCTGCACAGCCAGCGCCCAGACCCCGAGGATGGACCAGCCATCTCGGGACTGTGGGTTGTTCTGGGAAGCCGACCCCACCACCCTAGTCCTTAGTTCAGAACTTGGCAAGAGAAATGGATTTCCCTGCTGCTGTCCCTTCCAGGTGGGGCTCCCAGGGCCTGCCCCCCGACGAGCTCTCCGTCCAAAACGGCATCCTCACCACCCGGGCCAGCCGCTTCCCCCTCTGCATCGACCCCCAGCAGCAGGCCCTCAACTGGATCAAGAGGAAAGAGGAGAAAAACAACCTGCGGGTACGGCCCCCATGCCCCTCCCTGGCATTCCCTGGCCCCCAGCAGTGCCCAGCGAAATGCCCAGCCTGAGCCCCGTGTGGAGTCAGGAAGTGGTGAAGCCCGGCTGTTACTCTGCTCTGATCTGCGCGTTGCCCTGAGGCTGTGAGCAGCTGAGGGCAGAGGTCGTGCTCTGCTCATCTTCGTCCCCCGACAGCACAAGGCCTGGCCCCTGAGGGTCCCATCGCTTTGCTTTCGGAGGCTGCAGTTCACCCGCTTCAGACAGACGCCCGGGGTGTTACGTCTTCACCGAGTGGTGTAACCACCAGCAGAGTCCATTTCTGTCGCCCCCAAAGGAATGCTGTGTCCTTGAGCATCGTCACCCTCCCCCAGTTCTTCCACCCCAGCCTCTGGCGGCCACTCACAGATTTCCTGTCCTGCGGATCCCCCATCCCTGCATCTCCCTGTGAAGGGGTCACAGAGTCGCTGGCCTTTGTCCGGCCTCACTCAGCACCACGTCCCCGCACTGTGGCGGGGCCTCTGCTTCCTGTTGGTGCCGCGCAGCATCCGCTGTGTGCCCGCACCCCGTTCACCCGCCCGCCAGGAGGCACGAGGGGCTTGTCTCCACTCGGCGATGGTGACTAGTGCGGCTCAGACATCCGTGTGCAGGTGTCTGGGTTTTGTGGTCACGTTTTCATACTGATCGGCCCGGTCACTTCGCTGAAATCGCCAGCAAATCCCTGGCGTTGTTTGACCTTTTCCTATTGCTCCTGGTCCTTGCTCCCGGAATGTTCCTGGTTGGATTCCACGGCCACCCCCACGTGAGGCCAGGGCTGACCCTCGGCACTGCCTCCCGCCCTCCAGGTCGCCTCCTTCAACGACCCCGACTTCCTCAAGCTGCTGGAGATGTCCATCAAGTACGGAACGCCCTTCCTCTTCCACGACGTGGATGAGTACATCGACCCCGTGATCGACAACGTCCTGGAGAAAAACATCAAGTTCTCCCAGGGCCGGCAGTTCATCATCCTGGGCGACAAGGAAGTGGACTACGACTCCAACTTCCGGCTCTACCTCACCACCAAGCTGGCCAACCCTCGATACACACCGTCCGTGTTCGGGAAAGCCATGGTCATCAATTACACCGGTAAGGGCCAGGCCGCCGGCATGCAGGTGGTGCCAGGGAGACCGCCATCCGAGACAAGGCCTTCACGGCCCACATTTCATTCAGTGACCCCATCAGGCTCTTAGTCACGTCTTTTAAAAATATGTATATTATTAATGATTTCAGGGAGGAAGGGAGAGGGAGAGAGAGATATTCAAGGATGAGAGAGTCGCTGATCGCCAGCCTCCTGCACGCTTGTTGGGGGACAGAGCAGTGAGGCCGCCCGTGTCCCCCCAGTCACTCTGAAAGGCCTGGAGGACCAGCTGCTGAGCGTGCTGGTGGCCTTCGAGAGGCATGAGCTGGAGGAGCAGCGGGAGCATCTCATCCAGGAGACGAGCGAGAACAAGAACCTGCTGAAGGACCTGGAAGACTCGCTGCTGCGGGAGCTGGCAACCTCCACGGGCAACATGCTGGACAACGTGGAGCTGGTGCAGACGCTGGAGGAGACCAAGTCCAAGGCCACCGAGGTCCGCTGCTCGGGGAGCGCACCGTGTCTCGCTGTGCTCAGGGCCCGGGCCTTGGGATCGGGGGCTTTGGGCTGGAGGACATCAACCTGTGCTCATGGACAGGGGCTTTGAGTCTCCTGAGAGTTTGCCTGATGAGAAATGGCCCCCCTGTGGGGGCGCTGTGGGGAAGGGTGTCCGAAAGGTCTCCCCAGGCCCTTGGGAGGCGTTTATCAGCTTACAAAGCAGGACGGTCCGTGCCAGCTTCAGGCAGGGCTGGATCCAGGACGCCAAGCCTGTCACCCAGACTCACCTTCCCGTTTCTGGGCTGGGCCTGCGGCGGTTGGCTTTGTTCTCTGCCTTCCTGGGAGCCAGGCTCCCGTGGTCTCATAGGTCTGGCTCGTGTCCGCTCAGGTCAAGTCCCTGGGGGACGTGGGACTCGTTCCCTGTCCCCATCACGAAGGCCCTGAGAGTCATTAAATCCCACGCCCAGCGACCATCCACAGCCCAGGGGGTGTTATGTGGTGTGATGGGTCCTGGAGTTGGGGTGCAGCCCCGTGTGGAATGAGATGGGGGTGCTGCGCGTCTCCAGGTGAAATGTGGGGCTGTCAGGAGAGGTGCCGTGGGGTCGAGCCGCGGGTGCCCACCACCTCTCGCCGCGGCGGTCGCCTGCTGGGCCCTGGGAGCGTCCCACGGGTCATTTTTTGTTTTTTCTCTTGTGCCTCTCCCACTCCCACCCTATGCCTCCTGTTTACAGTCCCCTTGGTTAGGGGTGCGAGTGTCCCGTCTCCTTGGCAACCTGCACCTTTCCTGCAGGTGTCGGAGAAGCTCAAGCTGGCGGAGAAGACGGCCCTGGACATCGACCGGCTGCGGGACGGCTACCGG